TTCTTTATTGTTTCATAAATTTTGAGATATAAACTTTTTCCTATGGTCTCCAAAAGAAAAATTTACATTCAGCACTTGAAAATTTTAAAAAAAAAGGAAAAGAAATCAATGTTTATAAAAATTATTGAAAGCAAAAAAAGATGGGTGAAATTTTTATCTGCTACCATGTGAGCAGTATGCCTTAAAAGAAGCGAAGCCATTCAGGTAAATATTTTAAAGATCATAATCACTGGCAAAATTTCAAAAATGATCCAGAAAATAATCGAATTAAAATTATTTTAACAAATCTAATGGATTGCTGGAGGATTTTCATAAAATTATACCAATTTCAAATCTTTTCAACTGCCTGAATTAAAAGGATAATTTCAACAAATGATAAAGTAAATGTAAAAAAGCTTTTAGCAAATTTCTTTCTTTTTTCTTGTTATAACAAAAAAAAAAAAGCGAACTGAAAAAGAAAATTGAATGAGTAATTCTTCTTTTCAAAATTACCGATTAAATGATAGACTTTAAAAGCATCACAAAAAATAAAAAAAAAATAAAATAAAACCACTAAATTGCTATTGTAATGTCTTTCTGCATTGATATCTTTTTTTTAAAAAAAAAAAAGAAATGATGGCAACGAATATTACGCTTAGCAAAATCTGAAAATTTTGGAAATACTGCACATTTTTTTTCTCAGATTTTTTATTTGTTTAATAACACAAATAAAAAAAGGGAGAACCATTAGTGAAATATTCATTACTTTATCTGAAAATCTAAAAGCAAAGATTGCGTTCAGTAAACAATGAAAAGGAAAAAAATAAGCACATAAATTTTTTAATTATAAAAATTTTTTTCCCTCATTTTTAGTTTTTTTTTTTTATGAAATAGGAAAATTGAAAAAATTTTCCCGTAAGGAAACACAAACATGTGAATATTTGATGAGATATTGAAAATGAGCTTACGTAATTGTTGAATTAAAAAATGTAAAAGAAGAAATGCTCCACTATCATTAGGGAAATAATTTTAGGATCATTTCTTCAACATTTTTCATCAGAGATTCAAAATGAAAAAATTTTTTTATCTTCCCTTTCTTTTCATATCGAATTACTCCTTCATAAACGAATATTTAGCTAGCTAATGTGCAAATATTTTTTTTTTATTCATTAAATTCTAGAAAAATTAATTAATTATAATGATTGCACATTAATTAGTATGCAAAGGAGGAAAATCACATGAGAAGTATACATTGATAACGATAAATACGAACTACAAAACGACGTCTAAACCAGATGAATTTGTATAATTTCAACTTTACAGCTAAGTACATCTTTCTATCAGCTATCTACAACATCACATTTGAAACTGCTAATTATAGCTAACATAATCTCTATTCTGCAACAACTTCATTCATCATTAATTCTTTTCCTCAAAAATGGATATGAATGTAAGCTCAATTATCAATAGGGATCATCAGTGAACAGGAATATCAAGAAAGCATTCCTGTTCTTTGATGATGAACTTTACTAGGTAATACATTAGTAATGTTTAAAATTACATTCAAATCTCATCGTTCTCTTTTATGGATTTAGAAAAGATGGAGGAGGAAATAGTTTTACTAATAAATTGTTACTTTGATAACATTCCACGCTAATTAATTGATTCTGTTTGATATTTTTGATTGAAAACCTGGCAATATATGAATTTGGAGATTTTAAATGGTTGAAATTCTAAGTTTAGCAAAAGTTAATCAAAGATTTTTTTCTTTTTTGTGGAAATAGAAATTTGAAGAGAAATATAAGTGTGGAAGAAAATTAACTGTTACTGTAAGAAATGAAAAATTTTCCGCTATTAATTTACACCAATTTTGGTATTGATGAGTAATTTTTGTTTCTATAGAAAAGAAAACAAAAAAGTGGTAATGATGAAGTGGAAAAGTGATACGTTTCATTTCGATCAAATCAGGTATCATCTATATGATCTCATTATTTATTATTTTTTATCAATTGTTAAATTTTACTTTAATTGTACTCTAAAAAAAAATCTCCCTAATTTTAAGTTAATTAAATTTACATTAGCATCGTTTTAGAAAGTACAGTAATGAATGGAGAAATTAAATTTTGTATAATGTGCAAAAAATGCTTTTCAGAGAAAATTGCAAATTTCAACGATGTCAGTGATGCTTTCCAGTTACGAATGAGTTGCAGCATTAAATGATACCAAAAAAGTGTTATATAATGCTATCACAAAACTGGTTCAACGTGTAATCGTTATTCATACAGGAAACTGTAGGTGGAAAATTGTAGGCGTAGCACAATCATTAACCTTCTAAGGTAACAGCACTGTGCACATCATTTTTAAAATAGATGCTTATCAGTGAAGTGATAGGCATTTCATTTGATTGTTTTTCGCCTGAATTCATCCTTTCATTTTAACTAACAAATTTACCAGCAAAATATTGATTTTTTTTTAATTTGTAAGAATTTCTGGAATATCTTTGAAGTCAAATAATGATAATTGTAAATAATTATCATCATTTATGAGGTTAATTAAATGGTGATGATATCGATATCAAAATCACCATCATTTTTTTTTTCCTTGATTATAAGCAAAACATTGTAGCATTTTTTTTTTTCTTACACAAATCCATTTTGATAATTCAACATTTTTCCTACTTTTTTTTGTTGATTTTTGCTTAAAAATAAATGGCGTCAATTATTGCTCCAATTGAATATTTTTACATCAAATGCTCTTTGCAATTGTGATGACATATTGTAATCATGATTAATATGGTATACTATGATAGAGCATTCGAAATAACTTTATTATGATATATTATTATGATTATTATGATACAACATCCGAAATAACTTTTCACTTATTGCTTTTTTATTTTTATTGATAAGTGAATAAATTTTATGACATCCATCCATCCTCCCATCAAAATCTACTTGAATAATGCAAAATTTTTCAAAAGAAAATTGCATAGTAGGATGAAATGGAAATAAAAGAATGTAAATTTTGGAATAAAGAAATTCATTTTTTTTTTTTATATTTCTTAGCTACTTTTCAACGATTTGATCTTCGTGCGAAGCGCTTTTTCCCTGTATTTATTTTGAGAAGTGCATGTAAATCAATAATTCAGCATTGAATGTCAAATGATTGAGCTTAGAAAAAGAAAAAAAAAAGCATTTTCAGAAACTTTCAATCTTCGCTATTCAAATATTGGAATAAAAACAGCTGTCTCAAGAGTGATCAATTAATCAAAAATAATTTGATTAGCCGATTTAGGTCAACTTTTTGAGGTGTGATAAAAAAGCATAACAAATTTCGTCAATCATGCAGCATTTGCGCTGAATGTTGCAAGATTGCAAGAGCATATACATGTATTATACAATTGTTGTATTATACAATATAGTTTTCTGAGTTTTAGAAAAATAATAATTGAAAAAAATTTCCCGTACATTTGAAAATCATATATTCGATATGTTCTAAATTATATGATCCAATTTTTAACGATGTTAATTAATTGAAACTATTTAAATAAATGGAGGATTTTGAAAACTTCATTTTCCGGATGATATTGCCATGGAGGTAAAGCTTTTCCAGCGGGTAATTGATAATAGCAAGTGTTTGAATATCATATATTTATTTAGTTTTCCATTCAGAATTTCAGTTTTTCTTGGATAAGAGATAACAAAAAATTATTTGATCCACTACATCAGGTACTATTGAATTTTTTCAAAATTGAAAAGTACAGTTTTGGATGAAATCGAATTGCATTCCGGAGAAAAAGCCATTTATTTTGTTTTCGAATTCAAATATGTTATATGCAGGAAACGCCTATTTTAAAGAAGCAAACCGTTGATCATTATATATAAATCTGGAAGATATTCCTCGAATACCTGTCAGTAATTCTGGAAAATTTGAGAGGTTCAGTGCTTTATTGCTTCAACTTTTGATTTGTAATCAAACATTACTTTTAAATGATCATCACATTTCATCAAAGAATAGAATAGTTTGAAAATAAATTTACTCTTTAAAATTCGATCAGCCAACTAACAGCTTTTCTTCTTCTTCTGCGAGCCTAAAAATTTTCATAAATTTCATAGAAGAAAATGCTAAGTAAAATTTTGCAATATTTTTATATGTGTGCATGAGAAGATTGGACAGAAATCCTGGATGGCTAAGATGGTTGACATTTTCGGATGGCTATGAGGAAAGTAATACTTTCGGACGGCTAAGAAGATGACATTTCCGGATGACTATGAAAGTATGTGAGAGTTCCAATAAAATAGTTAAAAAGTATCAGTTAAATGATATATTCCTGTTCAAACCGTTTTTAAATGTTTTTTTTTTTTTTTTTTGTTTACATATATTTCGTATTGTTATTTGAGCAGTTCCCGAAAAGTGCACCATTAAAAATTGTTCATTCCTCTCTCATACACATCATTCTTTCAATCTTCCGGAGATGATTTTCAATATGAACCCTTTTCCTTCCTTCCATTCTATTTCATCCCATTTTCATCAACAACATATTTTCTTCTCTCTTTCTTTAGATCATTCATATCAGAGATGTGTGGTGTACACACACACACACACACACACACACACATGCACACACA